AGCCCCTGTGTCTGGCATCTGGGTCTCAGTGTTAGAAGGAAGCAGGTGGGCGGGGCTCCCTGTCACTGAAGACTTGGAAAGCTGCCCCATTCTTGCCACACACGCTACAGTCAAAGCCAGGACACACGGAAATTGTCTGAAGCAGGGGCTCCTGGGCCATGGGTGTGCACCCCAGAGGCTCAGCATAGAAGCACAGGCCTGGGGCCTAGATGCCATCCAGTGGTGTCCAGAGCCCAGAGCAGGCTGAGCCCATAGTAGGAGCCCCAGCAAAGCTCGAGTGTGGGGTGGGTGTCACCGAGAGCTGATATGGCCACACTCTGGGAGGAAGGGCAGCCCCTACCCCTCCCTCCAGGCTGGCGGTGCGGTTGGGGCATTGGGGTTGGTGCACCCAGTCCCCCCTCCCCCCTGTGCTTTCAGCTTCGTGTTGGGGTCTCCCAGTGTCAGGGTGGCTGTGGTGGGAGTGCTTCTCTGTGGGGCCCTCTGGTGACCACTGGCAGCAGTGCAAGGCGTCCACCGGGCCTCTGGGCCCTGCCCCTCCCAGGGTAAGTCCAAGCCACCTCAGGCTTGGACCAGGCAAACACGAAGTTAGGGTTAGGAAGAACCCTGAGGGTGTTTTCTCCTCCTTAGGGGAAGTAACTGAATGTGGTGGGCGGGAGCGGGAGGGGGGCGGCAGGTCACAGCTGTCCCTTCAGGCAGGTCGGGGCCATCTGCAACCAGACCTACGATTTGAGTGGCTATCAGCTGGGTCTGCACTCGGCTCTGCACCTGCTGGGGCCCAGGCAGGCAGGGTGGTCAGTGGAGGGAGTGGCCCTGGGCAGGGGTGAGGGCGAGTGTCTGCCAGGAGAGCCCTCCCCGAGCATAGCAAGCAATCCTCCAGGCAGGGCTTCCCGAGGGGTGCGTCCCCCCCAGACAGCTCCTCCAGGTGCCCCCGCATCTCGCTGGCCCAGGGGATGATGGGACTGCTACCGAGGCTCCCAGCTCTCTGACCTTCATCAGTGCCTTAGATCTCCCCCTCGACACCCCACTTCCTGCCCACAGTGGCATCCTGGCTGCTCTCTGGACAGGGCGCCAGGTCCCAGCTGCTGCTGGTCAGGGGAGCCTGGGAGAACCAGCACTTTCTCCGGCACTCCCACCCCACCACCCCCAATGGCCCAGTAGGCTGGACACTGCCCCTCACAGAGGGGCCTGGGAGAGTGCAGTTTGCTCTGATACTCGGTGCTGGCAAGGAGGGCACAGGGGTCATGGTGGGTGCTCCATCCTGGGCGCATCCTGGGTGTTGGCCCTGGAGACACACAAGCCTGGGTCTGTCCTGGGAGGGCTGAACTGGCCCGAGTGTCCCTGGGTGGCCTTCAGGAGCAGCCCGCCCAGCCCCTCCCAGCTTGCCCTGAGTTGGGCCTGGAGGCCCAGGGGACGCAGGGGCCTCGAGTCTGGCTTTCCAGCAGAACAACAGCCTCTGAGCAGGGCTGTGGGGGTGGAGGGCTGTGGGGACACCTCTGTGTGCACTTGGGAACAGGCTCGCTCTGTGTGGACTGCAGCGTGATGTGATCCCGTCCCCGGGGAAGCGCCTGGCATTGTCACTGTAGAACTCCCTGGGGACTCTCTCAGCAGGAGGGCACCAGGTCCCCTGGGGAGGGCTCCAAGACCCACCCACCGGCCACAGAGGGATCCTGGGGGACACCTGGCCCGGCCAGGTGGAGCGGCCAAGTCAGGGACCTGGGCCAGTGTGTCAGCCCAATCTGAATGCGCCTTTTGACGGGAGTCCCTGTGGGCCACCCCCACCCTGGCCGGAGTGACTCACCCTGGTGGCGCCTGGTGCCGCAGTGCCCAGAGAGGGCTGTGCGCTCTAGCGGCTGGTCACCGGGCCAGCCGTCAAGCCTGGTGTCCACATGCCAGCCTGGGCAGGCCGTGAATAGGAGACAGGAGTGCCTGTGACAGCCCAGGACAAACAGGCCCCCTCGGGCCCCAGAGGTTACCCACCAGCAGGGTCAGGAGTAAGACAAGAGGCTGTGTTTACACCATTCCAGGCACCCCAGGCTGAGGGCAGCTTCCCTGGAATGCCCTCCATGCCCACAGACTTCGTGCATTTATGGATGCTGTCTGAGAGCTTTGAGGGGCAGAACCCACCACCAAACACTGTGGGTCTAAGGAAACCCCAATCCAGCACGTTACCCAGCCCCTGCCCTGTGGTCCTTGTCCATGCAAATGCCCTCGGGTCAGGTGGCTCTGAATGTGCCTGAGGGCCCATCCCTCCTGCCTGAACGGTCTCCCTGAGGATGAGGTTGGGCTGCAACCTCCAATCAGCAGTCTCCTGCCCATGGGCCTGTCAATCAGCATGGCCTGGTCTTCAGACACATGTGTAATGAACGTGGGAGGGAACCCCTGTGCTTGCTGGGGGCATGCTTGTCCATCCGTTGCTGAAGGGCAGGGGCTGTTTCTGGGTCTTGGTGACTATGAGCAGAACTGTGAGTAGGGAGGTAATAATGCATGAGCTTGTCTTCATTGCTCTTGAGTGAGAACTCAGGAGTGGGTCTTGGGGTCATGCCATAGGTGTGACCTTTAAGAAACTGCCAGACAGCCTTCCACAGTGGCTGCTACACTGTGTCCCCACCGGCTGCGTCGGACGGACCCCAGAGCCCCGCATCTCCCCAGCACTGGGGATGTCGCCACAGTCCTCTAGTCACTGGGGCCCCCTGTGGGTGTACGGCATCTCCCCTGGAACTGACGATGCGGTCTCTCCATGTGCTTGTTTGCCACCCACCAATCTTGGTGAAGTGTCTGGTTCAAATATTTTGTCCAATTGTTTACACTGGATTTCTTCTTCCTGTTGCGTTTTCAGAGTTCTTCATATATTTCCAATACAGTCCTTTATCAGACATGTTGTGCGAGTATTTCTCCCAGTCTGTGGCTTGTCTTTGCATTACAGTGTCTTTTGAATAGTTATAAAATTCATCCTTTTTTTTGGATGGACTGTTTTCTGGTCTCATTTCTAAGACATCTCTGTCTAACCAAGGTCATAAGTATTTTCTTAGTTGTTGTTCCAGAAGTTCTATAGTTCTAGGTTTATAATAAGTTTAGACTGACCCACGTTGAGTTAGCCTTGGTATATGGTGAGAGGCACAGATCGAAACTCGTTATTTTACGCGGATGTCCAGTTGGCGAAAGGTGATCCTTGCTCCGTTGAATAGCCTTTGCTCTTTTGTGGAAAACATGTTTGCCATTTTGAACTGGGGAAGATCCAGTCAAAATGGCAAAAATGCTTTTTTAGTTAAAATGATAAAAGGTGAAAAGCCAGTTTAGAGCGTTGGACTGACCTCCCATGGGAAACTCTGTGCTGTCACCGGTGCGTCTGGATGAAGGGTTGCACGCAGCCCCTGCCCAGCCCTGTGGCTCACTGTGCTGCTCATCTGGACTGGCACTGGTCAGGCTGTGTGGCCTCTGGGCAGGGGGCAGCAGGGTGCTGGGTGGTGGGCCTGATGTGCGGGCCCTGGACACACCTTGCCGGGTATCCTGGGAGTGCCCCGCTCTTGTCCCTGGGTGGTAACCATGACCCAAGACTGCCTGCCAGCCAGGACCAAGGCCTCTTCCCTGTGGTTCAGATCTGACGGGCTTCTCACCCTAACTTTTCTTTGAAAGTCCTCCCAAGTGGAGGCCACACACATGCCCCATTTAGAACCAGACAACGGCTCTGTTTTAATGTCCAGTTGTTCATAAAGGATGTGCTTCCTTTAAGCTTTTTTCCAAGACAATTTATATTTGCTGCTGTTGCCAATGGCGACTGACTGTTGGGGGTAAACACTGCAGGGGGAAGGGCATGTTCTGTGTTTTAATGTTAGACTCACTTTCTGGTGTGGGTCCCCCGATGTCAGTGGATGCCCAGGCAGGGTTAGGGTTCCCCAAGGTCACTGGGTCCTGGGTCCGGTGCCCAAGTCCCCTCTCCCTGCAGGGGCAAGTCCTGCCGGACCATCACGTTCGAGCAGTTTAAGGAGGCGCTGGAGGAGCTCTCCAAGAAGAGATTCAAGGACAAGAGCAGCGAGGAGGCCGTGCGAGAGGTGCACAGGCTCATCGAGGGCAAGGCCCCCATCATCTCAGGAGTGACGGTGAGCGGGGCCACTGGGTGGGTCCCTTGGGAAATAGGGTCCATGGGGCCGTGGGGACAGATGGCAGTGGCCTAAAGAGGGGGTGAGAGCCTTAATCCCCAGTGTGGGCCGGCCCAGGCCACCTCCCCGGGCTAAGTTGAGAGTGGATTCCAAGAGCATTAGCACCCCTTGTGGTCGGGCCTAGCCCCTTTGGTTCCCTTCTCTGGCTCCCTGACATACCCATTCTTTCTCTTGCGGCGTGACGGCAGTTAACCTCTCTCCCTGCTCTCCTGCAGAAAGCCATCTCCTCGCCCACCGTGTCACGGCTCACGGACACCACCAAGTTCACAGGCTCCCACAAGGAGCGCTTCGACCCATCAGGCAGGGGCAAGGGCAAGGCCGGCCGCGTGGACCTGGTGGACGAGTCGGGCTACGTGCCAGGCTACAAGCACGCGGGCACCTACGACCAGAAGGTGCAGGGGGGCAAGTAGCCAGTCCCCCGGGGACAGGGCCTTCCTCCTTTGCTGGCCCCACATCACCTCACACTTCTTTACATTCCTGGGCTCACTGGGGCAGAACTCAGACGCTGGGGTGGAGGGGCTGTGGGTGACTCCCAGACCTCCTCCTGCCTGGAGCCCCGGCACGCTCCTCTCCTACCCCAGGTGCAGCCCCTGAACTCACTGACCTTCCTCTAATGCACCTGCCTCATCCCACGTTGGGAAGTCAACAGATGGTCATTTCCAAAGTGTTTCCTGGATCCAGACCACACAGGCCACCTGGTTTGCAGGTGAAAGGGGTGTTTTGAAGGAGCAGGTGGGACAGACCCTGCCAGAGGTGATGCTGACCTCCTCTCCAGCAGACCTGCCCAGGAACCATGAGGGCAACATGCACTAATGCACTAACCAGCAGCACCAGGGAGATGACGTGAACCTCGAACAGGACACAGATACGTCTCTGAGGGCTCCGTTCAGATGTGCGACACACAGGTGCATGCTTACACACGCACACACTCACGCACTCATGGACACATGCTGACACATGCTCATGCCCCCCCACATCCACTCACACACACATGCTTACACACACACGCCCACCAACCAGGTCTGTGCCGAGGACGGTCATGTGGGCGAAGGCTGGTGTGCGAAGGAAGGTGAGCCCGTGAAAGAATGCTCCACAGGAGACCAAAGGAAAGTGATCTGAAGTGTGAAGTTAGAAGTTTTTAAAATGGACACTAAGGACAGGTCATTTCATTTTGCTTTTTAAAGAAAAGAAGAAATCAGAAGAAACAGTGACTGTGTGGATCAGGGAAGAATCAGAATATCCTGTGTCTGTGACTCTCTCTCCCTGTTGGCCCTGTTGGCCCTGAGGCTCCCCCACAGACAGGTGTGTGATGGGGCATCTTCTGCCCGTCCCTGTTCTGAAATCAGGGCCTCGAGGCAGCAGTCGCTGTGGCTACTCCCTTTGCTCACAGTGCAGCACGAATCTCTGCGGCTCCAGCCTCTGCAGTTAATTCTTGCCTCTCTGAACTCTCCCGACCTGGGAGTGCAGGAAACTACACAACATGACCAGGCCAGGGAGGGCCTCCCCTAAAGGCCCACACATATGCTGGGGTTGGCGGGCGCTTTCACAGTGGCCACAAGGCAACACTCCATTTGCATACATGCAGCCACAGCCTGGTGCGCCACCTTCTGGCTATGTGGTCCTGGAGCCGGTCCTGGGACAAGCCCACGGCAGTCTCAAGATGCTTCCACAGCCAGTGTCTGCTCTGCACTTCTTCCTGGTCACGGCCTGGCCCAGCACGGGCGGCTGAAGCAGGGACCAGCACCGCCACGGCACACGGGCTGGTCACCGCTGGGGCTGGGGAAGGCTCAGGGCCAGCAACTCCAGCTGTGTCTCCACCAGACCCCTCGCACACCGGCCTCCCCTCACCATCCCTGTCTGCCTCTGTGGACAGCTTCATTCGGAGGTCCTGGGAGCTCACAGCGTGTGGCATTGGAACCCAGGGGATGGAGCACAGGCTCCGAGGGCCTCTTCTAGGGCTAATCTCACCATTGTCTCGAAAGTTTCTAACTTGGGGATCCTAAGCTGCCAGCAAGGCTACTCTGCAGTGAGGAGACTGAGGACCAGGGGCTGGGCAAAGGCAGGCAGGGTGCCAGTCCCCACCCTGTGCCTCCCTCCTCCCCAGGCTGGACCTTTAGGCGAAACGCAAAGGCAAGAGTAACCTGAAGACAACTGAACGTACAGTGTTTCTTGACAATAAGCTGATCACAAACCACAGCCCTGTTCCAGCGCTGGCGAGGTTTCTTTCCGTGGCCACATTTCCCCCCATGCCTGGCGGCACTGCCATGGGGGCATGCTGTGGGCTCCTGGTCAGGCTGCTTTTCTCCTGCCCCTGGGCAGCCCCATTCCCCTCGTCACAGACACTGGAATCGGCAGGACCTCGGCCACATGCACGCTGGCAAAGGCTGCCCACGCCACGGCCCACAGAGGCAGATGTCACCTGGGCCTGCCATGGGTGCAGGCCCTTCTCAGCCCTTCCTTGCCTGCTGGACCCCGGAGAGAGGTGCCAGCACCAGGACAGGTCTCCTGTCCCAGAGCATTGTCTTCAGGCAAGAACAGCTCCACACGAAGGTTCCAGCCTCCGACGAGGGCCAGCTGCCGGAGCACCCTGGGAAATGGGGTCTGAGCAAAAGAAACAACGTGCGTCTGTCCTCCGACCCCGTGGCAGCCCGTGCTTTCTCCCACGGTGCCGCCTCAGAACTGGACCCCCACGGCCCCGTGCGGCAGCCCTGGCCGCGGAGCACCCACCCCATCCCCTCAGGCTGGTGGAGGGGAGCTACTTGACAGGAAACCCTTGGCCCACTTCTGAGGAAAATGTCAGAATGCTCTGCTCACCCTGATAGCAGCAGCTTCTTTTTGGGTTTTCTGAATGAAATCAAGTGCACACAGCTGCTCCCGTCGGTGACCCTCCCCATCCCCGCCCACCCAAGCTCAGGGGAGAGCCCCACACCCTGGGCCCGACTCCCCACACGCCCGGCCGGGGGTCTGTCCACAGCTCCGCGGTCCCGCCGGCCACACAGGCGCTGCGGTTGCCCTGCGTCCCCTGCCCGTCCCCAGGCTGCGCCAGGCTCACACACAAGCCAGGACTCATTGTTCTCCAGTCAAAGTAGAGCTTTGAAAACCCACCCACCCCTCTCTGTCAGAGAAGGAGGAAGAAGGGCTAAGTCATGCGGACTCAGTATTCACCGTTCTGCCCCTTTAATCGCCTGGTGAGTGCATCATTGCGTCTGTGTGTAGCTTCTCAACTCCAACTTCACTGCACAAAACCGACACACATGCATGTCCCTCCACCGGGTTCTGAGTATTGTGAATACGTAGGCAGTGTGTGCCCGTGCTGCACGTTCTTATGCAATGCCAGTCAGCTTCTAACCATGGTCACTTAGAAATTAAATATCTATCTGTGAACAAAAGAAACTGCACAGCAGGCACCCAGGAGACAGGCCGTGTTCCGAGGGGAGGACACCGGGAGACGGGATGCCTTCCGAGGGGAGGACACCCGGGAGACGGGATGCGTTCCGAGGGGAGGACACCCCAGGAGACAGGCCGCATTCCGAGGGGAGGACACCGGGAGACGGGATGCCTTCCGAGGGGAGGACACCCGGGAGACGGGATGCGTTCTGAGGGGAGGACGCCCCAGGAGACAGGCCGCATTTCGAGGGGAGGACACCGGGAGACGGGATGCCTTCCGAGGGGAGGACACCCGGGAGACGGGATGCCTTCCGAGGGGAGGACACCCGGGAGACCGGATGCCTTCCGAGGGGAGGACACCCGGGAGACGGGATGCGTTCCGAGGGGAGGACACCCCAGGAGACAGGCCGCATTCCGAGGGGAGGACACCCGGGAGACGGGATGCGTTCCGAGGGGAGGACACCCGGGAGACGGGATGCGTTCCGAGGGGAGGACACCCCAGGAGACAGGCCGAGTTCCGAGGGGAGGACACCCCGGGAGACAGGCCGCGTTCCGAGGGGAGGACACCGGGAGACCGGATGCCTTCCGAGGGGGGACACCCCAGGAGACAGGCCGCGTTCCGAGGGGAGGACACCCGGGAGACGGGATGCGTTCCGAGGGGAGGACACCCGGGAGACGGGATGCGTTCCGAGGGGAGGACACCCCGGGAGACGGGATGCCTTCCGAGGGGAGGACACCCCAGGAGACAGGCCGCATTCCGAGGGGAGGACACCGGGAGACGGGATGCGTTCCGAGGGGAGGACACCCCGGGAGACAGGCCGAGTTCCGAGGGGAGGACACCCCAGGAGACGGGATGCCTTCCGAGGGGGGACACCCCAGGAGACAGGCCGCATTCCGAGGGGAGGACACCCGGGAGACAGGCCGAGTTCCGAGGGGAGGACACCCCGGGAGACAGGCCGCGTTCCGAGGGGAGGACACCCCAGGAGACGGGATGCGTTCCGAGGGGAGGACACCCCAGGAGACAGGCCGAGTTCCAAGGGGAGGACACCCCAGGAGACAGGCCGCGTTCCGAGGGGAGGACACCCCGGGAGACAGGCCGAGTTCCGAGGGGAGGACACCCCGGGAGACGGGATGCGTTCCGAGGGGAGGACACCGGGAGACGGGATGCCTTCCGAGGGGGGACACCCCAGGAGACAGGCCGCATTCCGAGGGGAGGACACCCGGGAGACAGGCCGAGTTCCGAGGGGAGGACACCCCAGGAGACAGGCCGAGTTCCGAGGGGAGGACACCCCAGGAGACAGGCCGCGTTCCGAGGGGAGGACACCCCGGGAGACAGGCCGAGTTCCGAGGGGAGGACACCCCGGGAGACGGGGATGCGTTCCGAGGGGAGGACACCCGGGAGACGGGATGCGTTCCGAGGGGAGGACACCCGGGAGACGGGATGCGTTCCGAGGGGAGGACACCCCAGGAGACAGGCCGAGTTCCGAGGGGGGACACCCCGGGAGACGGGATGCGTTCCGAGGGGAGGCCAGTGCGACGGTGTCTGAACATCAGCAGAGAACAGAAGGAGTGCGTTTGAGAACACTGATTATACCGGAATACTTATTTATTTCTATTTAACACAACTGGGCAGTAGTCAGGAATAGAGTTAGCTTTACCAAAACTGAAGTTCAAATTACATAATTTTAAAATATTATAGTAAGATTTATATTTATACTGGAGTATTTTTACACCTTTAATATTCTCGGGCTTGAGTTTTGAGACAGATGAAAATTATAGCAGATGCTGACCCGTCGGGGAAAGGTCCGCGGAGGCCTTCCACTGGCATGGCTCGCTGCCTGTCTGTGCTCCTCGCCGCTGTGTCCCAGTGGCTGAGAGCTCCGGGCAGGCCAGTGGCTGTCTGACCGTCTGAGTGGACAGAGACTATGGCAGCAGGGAGAGGCTCACCACCCCCTGGGCCAGTACAATCGCCTATTTCTGTGAATAGTTTTAACGGCACAGGCCACGCCCGTGTGCTTATATACTGTCTGTGGCTGCTTTTGCAGCGACATTGGCACTTGGGGAGTTGACACGGATGCCATGACCCATGAAACCTAAAATATTCACCATCTGGCCCTTGACAGGCGAGCCCTTGAGGACCCACTTGTGCTCATTCCCTCCTGGGTATTTATACACAAGCTGGCTACTCCCTGTCCGGCAGCACACACCCTATGGGGGCACCGTTGTCACCTGTCCAATACAGTACAGGGTGACAGTTTAGCTGTACTGTGAAATGATTACCCTGAGTAGTTTCCTTCCACTGATTTACCACTGACACTCTATGAAATCTGGTGGTCCAGGGGCCTGGCCTTTGTCTGTGGGCACGTGGAGAGCATGGCCGGGTGGTGGCGTGCCAGGCAGTGGTCACTGTGCTTGGAGATGCTGTAGTTAACTCTCTCTCTTCCTTTAGACTTTTGAAAAACCAAACCAAGCCAAACAAAGGAAACCTGCACAACTTAAAATAAACTTGAAAGTGATCATATACTACTAGTTTGTACTAAGTTTTTTCAGGAAAGGGAAATAAAATTTATATATACATGCAATATATTTTTACACCATCTTATTGTTAGGGAGTACTGAGTGTATCACTTTATCAGAGTGATGGGTACAGTAACGTCAATGTCATGGGTGTTCTGCCTCAGAAAGTCTAAATGGCATTCAGCAGGAACATCCGTGGGGTTGGGAGGGCCCTGCTCCCCCTCCCTCGGAGTGCGAGGCTCGGGGTCACCTATGGGGGTGCTGTCAAGGCCTGGCCTGCAAACCTTTAGTGAAACAGCTAATGTCTGTCTGCACAATGCTCCTCATGTGTTCGCTGTTGTTAACATTGTTGTCAAAAGTGATAAATAAAGTGTTAAATGGTGGATCTCTTATCCTCAACGTGTATGGTCTGGACCGGCAATAACATGGGCACCAACATCTAACATGGGAAGGCCCTGGGAGGGGTCCTGGGAGGGGGTGCAGAGCCATGACTTCCAGGGCAGAGAGCCTCCTGTCCCTCACCCAAGAGAGAGCCTTTCACTCCTCACTTAGGTGACCACTGACTCAACCCTGTGCTATGTCAGAGATTTTTACATTAGCAAATTTTGTAATTAACCACATTAACAATAAATAAGCTTAAAAATGATCTGATGACAAGAAATTCCACCCACATACTTTTGGTATAACACATTTTCCGGCTAAGTATAAAAACTGGTGCTTCTGGACACAACCGTGACCAGACAGGTGAATGGAAGGACACCTGAAGCCCAGAGACCCCTCTATGGGGGAGACTCGATGCCCCCGACTTCCCCAGAATCCTGACCCACACAGCTACACACAGCATCTTCTCCGAGGCCCGTTCTTCTTCCTCAATCAATTAAACATTGTTCTAAAAAATTTGTTTTATCAAAGAAAGCGAATATTACATAAGATATAAAGTTTTCAAACTAAAAAATCTAATTTTATGCCTTGTTATGACATAATTTTCAGAAATACACTGTAAGCAAGAGAGCCAGAGCATGGGTAGATATTTGTACTGTAGGATGTTAATATCACAAAACGTTTTTATTTTTTATGTTTCCCACACTATAAATATTACTTTTATTAAGTCCTGGAACTTACTTTTTTCTGCTCACCAACCATGGTACATAGCTTGTATTATAAAAGAATTCAATGATAAAATCAGTTATAATTTATGAAGAGCCACTTTTTAGAACAATGTATTCATTTATTAAATAAGAACTGCTTATTATACAATAAATTATTTTCTTTAATCATCATACATAGTTCTCTTTTACATTAGGCAGAAAAACACAAGATTTTTTTAAATCTTAAGACATTTGATGAAAAATTAACAAACTGTTTGTCTTAAAATATGTCAGTGTTTTGTCTCAAAACATGTGAAGGGCCTAGATTAATCCTGTCTTTTTAGAATGTTTTAGCAAACTGAACTGTGGGCCCTGATTACATTTCAGAAATCACAAGATAACTGCAAACAGAAGAAACAACTCTCATCAACAAGTACACCAGGTAAAGAAAACACGTGCACGCCACACTAGGAAGGTCAGGTTTAGGAGCAGCCACTGAGGCGGGTGCTGCTGACTGGGAACAGGGCCATGGTCTTCTTGAGCTCCTTGTAGCTCCAGTGTAGCTGCTCCACCTCGGCCCTGTGCTGAGCCCGCACCTGGCCCAGCTCCTGCAGGAGGTGCTCATTGGTGCTGACCAGGGAACTGGAGAGAACACAGGGCAGCCATGTCCCGGCTCTGCTGCTGTCCTCTCCAGCAGCATCCTCTCTCACCTGGCCAAGCCTGCCTGTTGACCACACATGCCCCAGCCATGCCCAGGCCCACGAACTTGTCCCCTCCTGATCTCTCCTGGCGACTGATCTGCCCCTTGCCCCCAGACCGGGGGGGGCGGCGGTGAGGGGGACGGGGGCGGGCAAGTCTGACTCAACCCCTCAGCCATCACCTGCCCTGCAAGCACTGGCGGCATCCATGAAACGGACCCAACTCAGCATGAATAGATGGATCCCTCAATGCTCTGGCCGTGCATGGTTTACTGAAAAGACTTGTCATAGTCTATGGCCAGCAAAACAATGTTCTAATTCTAGAAAAGACTCCACACTGAAGTATTTCTAATTCCCAGTCAAATATAAAGGACCCTTTGAAAAATCCTGACATTGTAGCAGTGTAATAGTGCAATTGAAAAGTCCTCATTTTTAAATATTGTTAACCATTTTTAATTATAGAGGGGACTTCAGAAAGAAAGTGGTGTTGTATTTTGCCAAAGTGCACTACTCACTTGGTCAGCAATGACTCAAGCACATTTGTGGCATCACAAGAAATGGGCGAAAGCAGGGCCATTTTCTCCACACAGGTCTCCCCACTGACAACCCCCCATGCAGGTGGCAGCCCTGTTTGCTTGGACCACAGAAACAGCCACTGACCAGGCGGAGGCTCAGAGTGGACACCTCCTGGTGAACCCCACTCCACTGCACTTAGAGGCTCTGCACCCTGCCTTGTCCACATTAATCCCACGGTGCCAATACCTTGTGACCTGCCACAGATGGGCCGTAGGGCTCCAGGGAGTGACCTTGCCTTGCCTACCACTTCCCTGTACTGTGACTGTGTCTCATTTCCTTCCTTCTGCTGCTCTATCTAGTCTCAGTTTAGTCCCACCTCTCAGGGAACACAGACCCGCATCATCACTCACATGCCCCTCACCTCTCAGAATACTGCAGCAGAAAGAAAAGCTCATGGAAGTGCCAAGTCAGCACAGCAACACATGCGGGCCCAGAACACTGGCCACCAGCAGCTGTTGCTCCTGCACCCTCCACTGCTTAGCTCCACAGCCCCCACCCCCACCCCACCCCGGAACCTGTGGCTCTCCTGCAACATCTGCGTGAGCTCCTGGACCCTCCCTTGCCTCGGCTCCATGCCTCACTCCCCTCCCCGCCCGCACCTGTGGCTTTCCTGCAGCATCTGCGTGAGCTCCTGGACCTTGTCATAATGTTCAAGGTGCTGCTTCAACTCCACAATTTCACCCGAGAGCCTCTTCACATTTGTTTGAAGCCCTGATAAAGAAAATAGGTAGTACTATTTAGTGAAATTCATTTAGACATCTGGAACATTAAAACAATTCGAGTTTAAACTGGACCTGGGACACAAGAAAAAGAATATAGCTTAGAAAAGATCAATTTTTGTAAGGAACTCAAAGGCAGGGGTGAACACATCCAGCCATGTCTACCCCAGGACCCAGTTCTGGCTCCCTCCTGGGGGCTGAAGCTGCGGGGATCTGCCCTGCAGATATCCCTGAGGAACCCACCCCTGTGTGGAGGGCCGAGTGATGACAGAGGTGGGCCTCAGGGCCTCTTTTCCACAGAGCATCAAGCTCTGGCAAGGGGAGGACCTGAGGCTTTCAGGAGAAGCAACTGCCAGCCATTGGAAGCCCAGTGTGGCCACAGGTCTCTGGTCCCATGTCCAGCCATGACAGAGCATGTGCCTGTATTCCATCTATAGGGTGTTGCCTCTCTTTGGGTTTCCTTCTCAAGGCAGGAGGGTGTGGGGGAGAAATTTACTATTTATTGGCTCCTAAATCCAAACCGAGGATAACCAGGATACAATAATTCCACATGTAGACATGCCACTGCCAAACCACACGACTGACACTGAGGAAGCCAGTGCGGGAAGGTAATGGGCAAAGGGATGCCAACACTGACAGCGGGTCCTTCTCACAAAGATCACCCCAGCAATGGAGGGCGTCCTCCTGCACTTGGACAAGAAAACGTTACTCAGAATCTGTGTCCACCCAAACCTCCCTGGAGGGCATGCTGAGCCTCTGGGAAGAGGGCAGTGGTGGCATGGGCCAGAGCTCAGTACCCCACACTAGTTGACACCAAGAGTAACTAGATGACAAGACCAGAACCCCACAGACAGCACTATAGCACCTGGTGACCAGGTAGCCTCAAGACCCCTAATGAGGCAGCCACGGCCCTGCATGGTATCCACGTCTGTGGTATCCACTCAGCAGTGGGGCAGCTGACCTGAGGACGGAGCACCTCCAAGTGTCCCGTTTTCCTGGGAAATCCTCGTAGGCTAACTACGGAACAGGGCTGGCATGAGGGGTTCAGCCTCCTCTAATGAGATGAACCCGGGGTGGAGTGGGAGGTGTCCTCTGTGGTCTGAAGGGGCTGGAGCAACCTATGACCCCTTGGGCTGACCTGCCTAGTCCCTCCTAGAACAGGGCCATTCTGCAGAGAAACAGACGATGAGGGGTCCAGGGCAAAGGAGGCCACCATATTTATCTGTGAAGTTAGAGAAGCTGTCTGCCCTGCTCCTTCTAGAAATTCAGAACAGACTTCACTTCACCATGAACAATAGAGACGTACTGAGGTCAAACCCCACAAAAGTTATGGTATGAGCACAACAAAAGCCACACCCAGAACAGATCAAAACCACAACGGTTTCAGAATGAACTAAAGTCAGAATCAGACAACGTTAGAAAGGGGGTGGCTGAGCTCAGGCAAGAAGGCAAAATGAAGGCTGAACTAGAAGGAACCCAAGAGCAGTGAATATGCCAATGACATCTCAAAGAAACAGAAGGTACAAAGGGGGAAGTTTTAAAATAAAAATTCAGCCCTAGTCAGTGTGGCTCAGTTAGTTGGGCATCGTCCAGTGCACCAGGAGGCTGCTGGTTAGATTCCTGGTCAAGGGCACATGCCAGGATTGTGGGCTCTATACCTGGTGGGGGGCGTGCAAGAGGCAGCTGATCCATATTGTGCTCTTGCATTGATGTTTCTCTCCCTCTCCTTCTCTCTCTCAAAATCAATAAACTATTCTTTAAAAAGAATTAAAAAAAGAGAAGACTGTGAACAACTCTTGCCACTCAATAAACTAGCCCAGTAAACACAATGGGCAAGGACAGACCAGGGCAACTCTCTGTGGCTGCATTCATGTGACAAAGGCCACAGAAGGACTTGGGACAGAGGCCACATGTAAGGCCTTGAAATAGCTACTATCTGGATCTTTCAATAAAAGCTTTTGGATCCCTGAGAGGTGAGAATGGGAAAAGATGCTCAACCTGTCCTTCTTCAGTGAAATTAAAACTTTCAAGAGACCCCATTTCACCCAGAGAAAGTTACCATGGAAAACAGATACCACCAACACCTCCTCATTCTAAAGCCCAGTATCTGAACCTGAAATACTGAGAGTGGGCTTTTGTAAAATGGCAAAACAGAATCAAAGAAGTGGAGAGAGGAAAATGAAAATGATCTGGGTCTGGAAAGTACAGTGATCAAGGAGAAAGGCCACTGCGCCTGCTGGGGACAGACAAGGCTGAGCAGAAGGCTAGTACCCTGCACACGCCAGGGGCAGACAGGCTGGCACCACGGCCCATGGCGCCACAGCCATGGGATGATCCCTGAGCTCCTAAGGAGTCAAAGGACTGGAGCAGTGAGGACCTGTCGGAGCCCACAGGGGAGGCGCCTCTCCCTCAGGCACAGCTCTCCTTCCAAATACACCTGAGCGTGCCATGGGCAAGCATGCGCACCATCCATGAGCCAAGGCAACTCAGACTAACCAAGGGTGTGGGCTCCAATACCCATTTTACATTATTTGCTGGCTCTTAATTTTGGTAATAATTTAAAATAAGCCTCATGAGTGTTTGAACACGTACATTTCACCAAGTAGTGGTCCCAAACAGATCATAAACTCACCAGTGATCTGCAAGTTTAACGCAGCTGAAGCATCTGCATTTTTTACTTCTCTTTTCATGCTGCACAAGAGAGACTTTAAGCTACTATTCTCCTCCAAAGATCTGTCTAAATGTTGCCTCAAGTCATCCTAAGGTCACAGAACAATACATTTTAAAATGACAAATCAATTTCAACAAGATGCACATAGAAAATTAAATAAAATCCTTTGAAATAACCAGATAGTAGTTTCCTTTTATGTATCAGAATTCTGAATCAGTGTGAAAAGCTGTACAGTCATTTGTCACATAACAACAGAGATATGTTCTGAGAAATGCGTTATTTCATCATTTTGTGTACACAAACCTAGATGGTACAGCCCACTGTACACTGGCTACAAGCCTGTAGAGCATGTTACTGTACTGGATAATCCAGGCAACTGTAACATATGGTAAGTATTTGTGGGTCTAAACATACCTAAACACAAAAAAGGTCCAGTAAAATATGGTATAAAGAGAAAACATGGCCCCTAGCTGGTTTGGCTCGGTGCACCAAAGGGTCCCAGGTTCGATTCAGGTCAAGGGTACATGCCCAGGGTTGTGGGTTCGATCCCCAGTGGGGGGCAGGCAGGAGGCAGCCAATCAATGAGTCTCTCTTATCATTGATGTGTCTATCTCTCTCTCCCTCTCCCTGCCTCTCTGAAATCAATAAAAATATTTTTTTAAAAAAGAGAAAACATGGTATGCATGTGTAGGGCACTTACCATGAACTGAGCCTGCAGGACTGGAAGTTGCTGTGGTGAGTCAGTGAGTGAGTGGTTAGTGATGGCCTAAGACATTATTGTACACAACTGTAGACTTTATAAACACAGTACATTAGGCTACACTAATTTACAAAAAATAGTTTTCCTTCAATAGTATATTAACCTTAACTTACTATAACTTTTTTACTTTATAAACTTAAATTTTTTAAAACTTTTTTACTCATAATAACACTTAGCTTAAAACACAAACACACTATACAGCTGTATAAAAATGTTTTTTCTTTATATCCTTATTCTATAGACCTTTTTGCAAAAAATGTTTTGTTTTTTTATTTATTAATCTTTTTTGTTAAAAACTGCGACACAAACTCACACATTAGGCCCACACAGGGTCAGGATCACCAGTATCACTGTTGTCCACCTCCACATCTTGTCCCACAAGGTCTGCAGGGACAATAACAGGCATGGAGCTGTCTTGTCCTACGATAACAATGCCTTCTTCTGGAACACCTCCTGAAGGACCTGCCTCAGGCTCTACTTGAGGACATCACTCTTTGTAGAAGTATGACCATGGTGGTTTGCTCAGCCTGCTTCCTTTTTCCATCATAATTTGCTTGTAAACAGAAAATGCACCACGAGCATTCTATTAATGAAAAAGTTTTGGTGTTGAGGCCCATGTTTTCTAACCTTTTAAGGAGCTTGTTGAGGTCTGCAAAAGCTTCTGCTTAACCCTGCACTGTGAATTTTCTTGGGGGTTCTTCTTCATCTTCTGCAGCTTCCTTTTCTCTTGCTTCTTCTTCAGCTATGCATTCCTGTTCCTGTTCCAACAACTCCTCAGTAGTTGGTCCCACAGCACCACCTTTAGGAGCTCCCCAATGTCATCCGCAGGCACACCCTGGTTAAAGCCGTTGCCCATATCACCACAGCCCTGGTGATTTTTACAACTTTTGTGCTATGACGTCAGGGCAGAAACGACATCACTAGGTGATAGGAACTTTTCAGCTTCATTATAATCTTATGGAATCACTGTCATATGTGCAGTCTGGCATTGATTGAATTATAATCTTATGGAATCACTGTCATATGTGCAGTCTGGCATTGATTGAAATGTCGTTATCTTCCCTGTCAGCAGAGAGGACAGGAAAAGGGGTAGTCCAGCTTACAAGGGAGCACCCACCTTCCCATGTTCACAAGGGAGCACCCACCTTCCCATGTTCCCTGGGGAGGGGTATGCTTCAATAGGACCCACAGCACTGGTGCTGAGGGGAACAGATGTAGTGGCTGGCTACTCAAGCCCTACCTCCTCCAGGAAAACCCCATGGTCGCCACAGCAAAAGTACAGACAGAACCCAGGCCTTTATGGTCCACCTGGGCAGGTAGCCTCCCTCCAACTTTTTAATATTCCATATAGAAGTGAGATCATGGAGTTTGCTTGGCCTGACTTACTTCACTTAACCTGAGGTCCATCCATGTTGTTACAAATGGCAGGATTTCCTTTTTTAAAAAAGGCTGAATACATGTTGTATATACATACGTTCTTTATCTACCTATTTTTTTGAGGTTATTTTTCTTAATCATGAATTAACGTTGAACTTTGTCAAATGCTTTTTCTACACCCATTGAGATGATTGTGTGGTTTTTATCCTTCAGTCTGTTAATGTGGTATGTTAATTTGCATATGTTGAACCAGCCTTGCATTCCAGGGGAAAATCCCATTTGATCATGGTGAATAATCTTCTTGACGTAATGCTGAATTCAGTTCTCTAGTATTTTACTGAGGGTTTTACACCTGTGTTCATCAAACATATTGGCCTGTCATTTTCTTTCTTGTGGTGTCTGTCTGGCTTTGAAACCACGTGATGCTGCTTCATAAAATGAGTTTGAGAGTATTAGCTCTACTTCTATTTTTTGGAAGAGTTTAAGAAGATTCAGTATTAATTCTCCTTTCAATGTTTGGTAGAACTCAGCCGTGAGGCCATCTGGTCCAGGGCTTTTCTTCTTTGGGAGCTTTTTGATTACTGCTCAGTCTCCTTATTTGTTATTGGTCTGTTCAGGTTTTATTTCTTCTTGATATAATCGTGGTAGGTTGCATGTTTCTAGGAATTTATCCATTTCTTCTAGGTTACCTAATGTGTTTGCATATAATCATTCATAATAGTCCTTTCTGATTTTTACTTATTTCTGAGGCATATATTGTAATGTCTCCTCTTTCATTTCTGATTTTGATTTTTCTCTCTTACTTTTCTTAGTCTAGCTAAGGGTTTGTTGATTTTGTACATATATTTTTTCAAAAACCCAACTCAGTTTTGTTGATTTTTTCTATTGCTTTTCTATTTTCTATTTCTGCTCTGATCTTTATTTTCTTCCTTCTGTCAACTTTGGGTTTACTTTGTTTTTCTTTTTCTAGTTCTATAAGGTTTAAATTTAGGTTGTAAATTTGAGATCTTTCTTCTTTTTTAATGTAGACATTTAAGTGTGATGGTCTTATGGTGAGGTTACAAAGGACAAGGGCATCCCTAACCGCCAGGAGTCTTAGGCTCAGCTAGTAGGCCCAGCTGTGCTGGCTCTGTTGCCCTTTGGTGCCACCTGGTGGTGGAAATTCCCTCAAGTCCAACAGGACACCTGGGGTCCTATGACTATAGCTGTGCTGGCTCTGTTGCCCTTTGGTGCCACCTGGTGGTGGAAATTCCCTCGACTCTGAGTGATGGGTCCCCAATGTGCTCTTGTACCCAGGCATCAGATGGAAGCAAACCAAAGTCCTCTCAGGGGAGGGTTCCTCAGAGGTCTGGGGAACCTGGGCCAGGGAACATGGGGCCACAAAACCCCCACTTTAAGCCCAGCTTCATCTTCTCTTGTCTCTCCCACTCACCCTCTCTCAGAAGAGAAGGCAACCAGTCAAAAGAGGTAGAGCTGGGAGAAGTGGCGATGCTTCCATCTGCAAATTGCTGTTGCTGTGGGGTCTGGGAGTGATACAAAGTCAGGCCAGAGTCCCCCCAGGTGGGGAAAGCCTGTGGGGAGGGTTTGTGATCCTGGAAGGGAAGAGGAGCCCCAGTGCTGTAGCCCGGCAGCAGCTAAGGGGAAGTGCAGAATGGAGAATCTCCCCTCATTCTGTGAAGTCAAAACAATGTTTTTACCCCATCTGTGAAAAGGAAACGCAAGGGGTGTGGCTCACCATCTCTTTCCGAGTATTATTGAGCTCCGACACAACTTCACTCATCTTCTCACTATATTGTTGCTGTTGTTCAACAAGGTGATTTTGTAAAGATTTATTTTCAAGAGTCAGGTAGTTAATTTCTTCACTCGTAGTTGTCGAACTGTCCTGAGTTGCTGTAAAATCTTGAACAGATGACAAAACATGTCTTGCCTGAGCTAGAAGTAAAAATCAAGTATTATTATTGCATTTATGCCAAAAGAATGTGTAAACAAAATATGGTAAATACATTTTGAATAACACACACTACATGCCTTAAAACACAGATAGGCATGGGGACTGGCAAAGGGACGAAGGTACCACTGACATTACCTTCACTCAGGCTGTTTTACATCCAGTCAAGCATGAGAGGCAGAAAAGAGCAGAAAAAAGTTTTGTTCTTGAGAAAAGGTACCCCTCAGGAGAAGGCTACCACTAGGATGGTTGGGCTGAATGCCCTAGCAGCCCACCACACTCTCTTCAACAGCCCTGCTGCTACCCTGAGAGGGTATAGATTTATGGGATCAGCATTCTTGGGGCATCCTGATTCTGAAATGCTCACGAGTCTCTGGTGTGGCTAGGATGGCAGCTTCAAGCAGGGCCCAGGGTCTCCCTGAAAGGAGAGAGCTGGCAGTTCCCCACTCCCATTGGGACACTGAACATTGCACCGCAGACTGAGGAGGAAAGAGGTGTCTCACTGGGGATGCAGCACCCTGTTTCACATTCCGACTCTGGGTGATGGGTCCCCAATGTGCTCTTGCACCCAGGCATCAGATGGAAGCAAACCAAAGTCCTCTCAGGGGAGGGGCCATCCTCCTGGACCTCAGTCATTTCCATAAAAATTTATTTCCATCAAAATCTTGGCAAATACCAGTTCGAAGAAGACAGTAGCAGCTTTTTAACCTCTCCAAATCCCCACGTGAAAACAAAGCCATGAGAACCAAATACCTGCGAATGGCACTTCCAACAAAACCAGGCAATGAGGCATCTGCCCAAACACCAGAGCCAGTGGCTGGGAAAATCAAAAGCTACACATTAGGGGAGCCCCCAGTTACTGAGAGGACACTGTCAGGGTGCTCCCTGCAGTGCAGCAGCCACAGTGACAGTTGATGAGGAGGGTGCATCATGTGAGGAACCCAGAACCCCATGGGAGAGCAAGTACCCACTAACACAATGCTACCCAAAGGGTGGGCCTGCATGTGGCTCTGAACCTATGAGCTGATTGTCCCTTCTCAACTCACCCAGGAACACCTCATTGCTATGCAGGGACTTGCAGCCACTCCAGTACCTGTCCACCAGGTCAAGGAGTGATTCTAGGAGCGCCACCCCCAGGATGGCCTTCCCAGGTGGCACAGCTGAGAGCAGTTTGGGAGACACCTGCAATGGAAACAAAACCATGACACAGGATTTCAGTTCCTGAAACACAAGGCTCCTAACACCATATGCCAAGGGAGCACTGCTCGGCCCAAGTTCACACCAGGGGCGGGACAGCCCATCTCTATATATAAAAGCCCAAGTGACTGTTAAGACTGAACGACCGGAATGACCAGAACGACCAGAACAACCGGAATGACAAGTCGCTATGACATGCACTGACCACCAGGGGGCAGATGCTCAACGCAGGAGCTGCCCCCTGGTGGTCAGTGAGCTCCCACAGCCAACCTCCCGTGGCCAGCCAACTCCCACGGCCCTTCCCCCTGGCCGGCCGGCCCTCCTGATAGGCCCCAATTGGGGGGCCGGTCAGCCAACCTCCCAAGGTCCCTCCCCCTAGCTGGCTGACCCCCCAATAGGCCTCGATTGCCGGCCAGGCCAAGGGACCCCACCTGTGCATGAATTCATGCACCAGACCTCTAGTATCCTATAACTGGTCAGCATGGTAGCACTAAGGCCGGGCACCTTGCTGCCTAGAACTGAGGCTGAGACCAGCCCCCAGTGAGTGTTCGGCACAAACACCTCCATCAGAAGCTGAATCCGGACACTGGGCCAGGGTGACAGGCATGAGTACAGAGCCAGGGTCTTCAGGGTGGACACAGTGCAGTCACACACATGAGGAGCACGGGCTGTGCCCTTTCCATAAGGACGACCACCATGAGGTCATAGCTGAGCCAAGAGGAGAGGGAGCCCTGGGCAGCACCCCCTCCTATAAAGTCCCAGCCCCACAGCGAGTATGCAAGTCTGCGACGCAGCTCTGCCCCTGGTGCTGTCCCCTGGCAGACAGGAAAGGCCTCAACACATCCCATTTTCCTTCCTTCCCTCAACCCGGACAGTGAGAGACTGCATGTAAGAATGGATGACAGCAGGCCCTCTATAAAAGCACACTCTGACCCGCAGCCTGCAGTGACCAGCCGGGAGCCAGCCTGCCATGTCTGGGTCCCAATGCATGGAAGCACATTTCTAGCAAAATAGAGAGGTGACAAACACCAAGGAAAAGTGCATTTAAGAGCTGTATTTATCTTGGGATCACAGTTAATGCTGAAAATAGGAGACATGGTGTTACCAAAGACAGCAGCCCCTCAACTAGAACATCCAGTTACCCTCAGCTCTCTGCTCACCTCCCTGGCGCCACTCGTGCTGTGGGGCCTCTGCTCTTCAGACTCAGACGCCTCCAGGTGAGAACAGGTCCTCTCGCTCCTGCTCTCAGAGCCATTCTGCCTGTTCAGACTCTCCTCCAGGCAGCTGAGACATTCCTGGTCTGCAGGCGCCTGGAATCTCCCTCCAGGCATTCTCCGCTTCCTGTACTTTTCAAGACCAGGCAAAGGATTTAACACCTTTTGTGTTGACAAACTAGTCGTCTGAGAAGTGGAGGTTGAGTTCTCAACGTCTATGCAGTCTATAACAGAGGGGAGAACACAACCCTCATCAGACCAAGTTCTCTGGGCACAGGGGTACCTGTGCACGCACTGTGTGTGTATGCATGTGTGCACATATGGAATATCCATCAGAGTGACAAGACTGAAGTAATAACTTTAACAAATTAATTGACAGATGATTATCTGTTTTCTTGCCAGAATTATGTATAATAAAGATGAGTAAAAACCTAAAATTTTGGAAACTAGAAGAGGACTCAACAATTTGTTCCTTTAGGAGATTGTTAACTTTAGTACCTGGGACCCTCCCTACCTCAGGGGACATGGCCCCACATCTGCTGACAAAGAGAGTGTGTGCGTACATACATAAGGACACACATACATCTATACATGCACACGTGTACATGCACACACAGAAACATGCACATACACATGTACACAGGGCAGGGCAAGCGTACAACAGAGCAAATGTGGTCAGTGCTGACTTTGGGGGTCTGGATGATGTAGATATGAAACTTTCTTATTCTGCCGTGGCAGCCTTTCTGTGTTCACTCTGGGAATTCACAAGGACTACAGGTCAATAAAGAGGTCTAAAGGTCAAGCACAAGCACCTTGTGAACAAAGGTGAAATGATGAATTCTGACCATCAACAGAAATGGAGGTCCTGTGCACCCATACACCACAGCATCATTATGAAGCCTCAGGATATAGGGTAAAAGCCACCAGGACAATGAAAGTAGAGAATATAATAGGGCATGTTACCTGGACTCAGCACTACATCCTGCTCTGCAGTGGCCACAGGCAACCTGGGCAGGTCATCACCACAACCCACCCCAACTCTGAAGAACTCACCTGAACAAGCCTCAGGAAGGTGCTAGGTTCACTCATATTGGGAAGTTTTCTGACATTTTTGTCACATGTGTGCACACAACACTCTCAATTAACTTATTTTCTTCATCATTAATTTTTAAAATACAGCTATTGTCATAACTTGGGCCCATGCAGTTATAAGAAATTGTACGTGTGTGAGTGAGAGAGAGGGAGAGGGAGAAAAAGTATGTGTGTATGGTGTGTGTGTGTGTGTGTGTGTGTGTGTGTGTGTGTAGAGAAAAGCAACAAAGAACTCACAAACTAGGAATCTGAAATATGAATATTCTAAATTTTTTTATCCTTACCCAAGGATATGTTTCCATTGATTTTTAGAGAAGGAAGGGGGAGAGAGAGAGAGAGAGAAGGGGTGGAGTGGGGGGGACGACGCTCTAACCCCACTGATGGGGAATCATAGGAGGGGACGCTCCAACCAACTGAACCATCCGGCCAGGGTGGTTGTATTCTAAATTTCAATGTATAAGGTTCTTTCCTAAGACATTTTACAAAGTCCCACAAACAGATAAAGAAAGAGAATAGGAGAAATAGACATGATTAAGAAGGAGTCAACGGCGGTTGTTGCGTGAGATTACCTGGGTGTGGGAGGAAGTGCACATGATGTCCGAAGGAGCAGCAGGCCTCGGGCTGGTCTCCCTGCTGGGGTGGGAGCTCTCCACAGTACTGGTTCTGAAGCCTCTTTTCTGGACAACATCCTCTGGAGCTGCCTTTTCTCTTCTCATGGCCCTTCTTTATGGAGTCCCCACACTGGTGCTGGACTAAGTGAGGACTCAATAGATGTCTGGATTCTATTTTATTAAAGAACATTTTAAAAGTTTTAGTTCATTAAAAATTACATTTTAAGCTTCTGGCAGTGTATTATATCTATTAAGTGTATCAATTAAATCAGAAAAAGATGACTGAGTGGGTTAATAATGCAACCACCAAACCTGTAGTGAGTCTAGCAGTCACTGCAAACAGTGCTAACAGGAGTCAAGACAGTGAGGCATCGATACAAAGACAGACATGATGACAGATAAAACAGCATCCAGAACCCAGAGAGAGACTCAGGTTAACGGAATTAACAAATGTGTCAGGGTTATTAAATGAGACAAAAGACAGTATTTTCAACAAATGGCACTAGCACAACTGGATATATGGGGTGGGGTGAGGGGGAGACAACCTGACCCATCGCTCACCACGGTCACAAATCCACTCTAAGCGTGGAGGAGCACAGACCTGAACACTGGAACCTGAGGACATCTACACGTCCACAGGAGAAAATCTTCACGAGCATGGGACAGACAAAGATTTTTTTTTTCAGGGCACAAAAAAAGCACAAATCATATAAAGAAAAAACTGATAAACTGGACTTTATTGAAATACAAATTAAAACCACAATTAAGTATTAATATTTACTCAGAAGAACAACCAGAATAAAAAAGACTGAAAATCTAAGAGCTGGCAAGGATACCCAAAGAGCAGATGTCTTTGTGCCAGCAGGTGAATCCTGGGATTTCAGCCCACACTTACACCTCAGCCTGTTGTCGTCTTCATGAAAAGCTCTCAGAAACTCATAATGGAGGAAGAAATGGTGCTAAAGCTTATACAAAAGTCCAAGTGGGAAAGAGTCCCTGGCACAGTAATGACATTCACACATGCACTGGAAGGCTTCACAATGAGCTTGCCAGGTTTAAAGTTCTAACCCAGGGGTGGGCAAACTTTTTGACTCGAGGGCCACAACGGGTTCTTAAACTGGACCAGAGGGCCGGAACAAAAGCATGGATGGAGTGTTTGTGTGAACTAATATAAATTCAAAGTAAACATCATTACATAAAAGGGTACGGTCTTTTTTTTTTTTTAGTTTTATTCATTTCAAATGGGTCGGATTCCGCCGCGGGCCGTAGTTTGCCCACGGCTGTTCTAACCCGTCAGCCCGAGCTCTAAGCGCTCCCTGACGCTAAGTGAACACCCCCTTCTGGCTGACACAGACGCCCGTTCCACTAGCCACAGGACATGCTCTCTTCTTGCCCACTTGGACCTTTTACCTCCTCCCTACAATTGGACTTGATCTGAGGAGAATACAATTTAAACCACATGCAGTATATGACTATACTCGACTTAAATACATGACTTTTTTCTTTTATAATTCTGTAATCCAAATTACTGATATTTACAAGTTCGCAGGACTTCATGAAGGTTATACATTTAAAGGTAAGCTTCCTAAAAAGTACAACTGTGCCCAGAGCAAGCTGGGCCCGCTGGGCCTTCGGGGGGAGCAGTGTACCTTGGGAACTATGGAAGTCATCCTCTTGCTCCTTCTGGCTGGAACTCGTACTCCTAGGAGGGTTGCTCAAGTCCCACTCACACTCGGCAATGAGGTTCAGGACGGCCTCGTCATCCGCATCCATGACTAAGCACTTCTTGGCTGAGGGGTCAGGGCACTTAACTCTGGAGTGGTGCAGCCTGCAAAGAAAAGCCACCTCAGTGCTGTCGCTCCACCCCGAGCAGACCCTGTGCGGGGCACGAGTGCGAAGAGCAGTTGGGAAGAGCAGTTGGTGCATCTGCGGGAAGTGGCTCTGGTGCCTCTACTAAAGTGAGGTCGAGGAGGGACCCAGCAGGACAACTGGTGATGGAAAGCAAGGTGTGTGATGTCATCACACCCTCCAGCATGTGCAGAGTCCCACTAGGGTTTGTTCAAGAACCAAAGTATGGTGTCAGATGTGTGTGAGATTTATTGGGATGATCACTCAGTAAGTTATGTAATGTCTAATCACTGGGATGTATACCTGAAACTAAAATAATAATGTAGATCAACAGTAATAAAAAATGATAAAGTGTTAGAAAAAAAAAGAAATAAATAAGCAAGAATTCTTTTTGTCGGGGTGGAGAGATCATTTGATTCTTCCCCTAAAAGTTGGAAATAGAAAAAAAATTTCATAAATTACTTTCAAATAAATTAATTTAATTTAATAAAAATATTAACTCTCCAGCTCTTTACAAAAAAAGTTGGCTGACCTCTACATATAAGGGATTTATAAATAAGCTAAGGCATATAATGCAAGAAGAAAAAATACCTATTAAAAACTTCAGACAAAACAAAATGGTGTACAAGGAGTGAATAATCCTAGCACATTATAAGAAACGTAAACAGTTTATTGACTTTTGCCTTTAGAATCAACCATACACAAAGCATGAAGACTCTTTATGGCTTTAGAACATTTAAATACTATCGACCCTGACGATCTAAAATTAAACATAAAGATGCAGATGGCAGGAGCGGGAAGGCACAGACGGGCACAGATGGGCACGTGCTCCCACAGCCCCACCAGAGCAGAGCCTTGAGCACTGGCCACAGGGCACTGAGCTGAGAATACAGGAGGGCATAGTCCACAAACTGTCACCACGGGGTGGGAGGGGCTATGGCAGCTGTCAGGTCCTGCTTCAAGTGTGCACACCCAAAAATGGCAACTAATGTGTATTGTCCGGGGACGAGGAAGGAAGCAGAGACAATCACAGAAGTGAATGAAGTGGCTGCTCTGAGGAGTGGGCCGGGCAGTGGGGAAAGGGGACTGTTGCTTCTCATCACAAGTCTTCTGTGCTATTTATGTTACATGTATTAGTTTAACAAACATTTCAACATTAAAAAATAATGTACAGAAAATGTGGACAACAGAGAGAGAGACTCCGTCCCACTGTCTCCTTGAGTCCCAGCTGGTATCCGGGCATTTTTCCTTTTCCTGCATGTCTGCCCTTTAAGTGGCGATCAGAGCACAGAAACATTTACATGTGTGAGCTAATACACAGTTTTATATCCTTTACTCAGTCATTCTATGAATAGATAAGCCTGAGCACCACTCATGTCCATACCTTCCACCTCTGCAAACAGCTGGGAGGCTTTGTGTGGAGTCGAGTGATTCCTCTGAAGCAAAATGCAACTGGGATGCCTTCCGCTCGCTCTCTCTCACGGGACGGTCATCTGGGGAGAGATGCCAGAGAAACCAGCAAGCACCACCATGAAGCAGGTGCACCTTCCGGCACCCCATCCCGCCCTGCAGCGCACCACACGTGACCAGGCTGCCCCCACTTGTTCCGGGCCTTCTGTCCCCTTGGGGCTGACCGCGCCACAGCGTCCCCCATAAGCCCCGAGTAGACCCAGTAAAGGGATGCTGGGCTCTGGTGGCTACACGCGGCTTCTCAGGGATGCTGGGTGCTGATTGCAAGAGGGCTGCCCTGCTCCCACAAAGCTCACTCCTCAGACACTGCTTTGGAGGCAGCCTACTGCCGCAGGAAAAGAAATACACAGCCAAGTTCACACAAGCACATCCTCCTGGGCTCCCTCCCATCAAGGTACATTTTGGGTGCTGCACGAGGTTCTCGAACCACACTGAGCGCACTAAGAATCTCTGGTGTGAGGTTTCTGAACACACTGGAGAGGAGACGGCCTAGCTGTGTGTGTGGATCCTCAGGACTGGGAGACAGAGAGATAAGTGTAAACTGTCCCCACATGTGTGCTCTGGCCTGAGGCCTCTGCTCAGCCACTCCCAGGCCTGCGATGACTTTGAGTTTCAATTATGTTCCTTTTCCATGTCTGAAAATATCTTTCCCACGTGGCAAGACTCTCATTTCCCTTCTCTATACTAACATTATACAATTCTGAACCTAAAACTTTTATGACAAATGATTTAAGACTGAAGATTGCAAAAATTTCCCATAAGAATTGTAATGCTTCTGAAAAAGAGCCAAATTCAACTATTTATAAGTTACTTAAAGTCAAAAGTTAGAACAGAAGCACTTATTTCTCCCAAATATCTAAAAACTAAAATGAAACATTGAAATTCTAAGTAGGTTTGACCCTTTGGGGGTCAGTTATTCACACCCACAGCCCAGCCCTGCTCCCAGGCCCAGGCCGTGCAGAGAGGGGACTAGGGGATAAGCTGACATGCATGCGCTGTTGAGATGTGCATACATGCACTCACAGCCAAGAGATGCAGAACATGGGTTTCTACAGACACTGGTTGGAAGTGACAGGACAGTGGCAGTGGTCTGCCTGCAGCTCAGTATTTACCACAGGAATAGTGGTAGAGCAATGTCTTCCCTGACAAATGCTGGTCTGATGTGGGTCTCACTTTGGTGTCATTAGGTCAGAACCCAGGAGATGGAGATGCCTCAAATGCATCCCCAGCCTCGCCGAGAAGTGAATGGGCCTGCAGATTGAGGACATGCTGTGATCACTGGGGAACATGACCACACCCTTCAATCAGATATTCCTGCACCAGCTACCCAGCACTTCCCACCGCCCTTCACACAAGAGACTAAGGGTCTGAGGGCCCCTGCCTCCCTTCCCCGTGACCTGCATGTCAGTGCATCCTGGACTCATGCTCCAGCTCTCCCCCCTTGAAGTGCGACTCGAGGGAGCATCGGAAGCGCCAGTGGCCTCACTGCTCAGGGCAAAGACCCCTCCTGGTAGGTGGTGAGGCAGGTGGGAAGGCATTGATGTGGCTTCCCTGGGTGTGATCCTCCCAAATGGACTTGTCCAGTTGGCAACCTGCAAGCTCTGCCTGTGAGGCTGTCACAGAGATCCATTTTTTTAGAGAAATGGGTTAATAAGCCTAAATGGTGGCAGTACCTGCCAACAGAACACCCTCTCTCATCCCGGTCACCTGGGGGAGGGTGTGGCACAATGAACTTCTAGTCCTGGATTTCTCCAGGTAGATGCAAAGCCAGTAGAATCCAGCCGTCCACCTGGGCCCGAGACGATGCCCAGGGGCCATGCATGGAAACAGGGCACCAGAAGTTCAGGAACAGGCCCAAGTCAAACAGCTAGACAGCGAAGCCAGAATGAGTCTGAGCAGTACAGCCCATGCCGGTGCTCCTGGTGTCCCGGCAATTCTCTCTGGCCATGGGGCTCCCTGGCACCTTCCCAGGCAGCTCTCCTACAAGACCCATCCTGTAATACAGGGACTCATGCCATCAGAGTAGAAAGTAACTTCCCTTTTCAGGGAGATCAACAGTGCGATGGATCTGACAGTACCAAACACCAGTCAGGGCTCTACTGAGCAAGGGTGTGAGCACACCACACCTACCCAGCTGTCTGAGCTTTGGGAGCATGTGCACAACAAAGAGGCGGTAATCAGACTCATTCTTCACCACCGGGTTCAGTCGGAAGTCCACGTCCGTGAGCTCAGTCAAGCAGTGGAGCCGGAACACTTCTGCTAGCGAGGAAATGCAGTTGTAGTAGAGATTGAGGCTTTCCAATGCAACCAGGTACTGAATGCCCTGTTAACAGGACACAATGCTGAATGAGTTTATGCTTTTAAAAATAAACATATAGAAAAACAGGCCCACCGTAGGAAGTGATCAACCAACTTAACAAATGCACTTATAATTTATAGAAAGAGCATAAGGTTGAAATGTGTTCTTGTCTATCAATTTCTGTCCTGCACACAGTGATATGACTGTTCAGGGAGGTTCGCAACAGTTGTGACTACTAAGGACAGCTGGCAGGTACCACGCTAAGTGATTTACACAAATAACTTCATCCCATTGCACACAACCCTACAGGGTAAGCCCTACTACTGCTCCCATTTCACAGATTAGAAAACTGAGGATTGGACGCTGAGAGATGAGCCAGCACTGGGTGCAACCTGGATTGTAACTCGCCTAACTCTGAGCAGACTCCTGACCCCCATGTCAGGGGCGCTGAAAGTACCATGATCCAGGGCAGTGATGTCCTGCCTTTCTTTCAGGCAAGAACCCTTCTCTATATACACCATTTGCCATCACCTGGGTAACTTCTCACTCACTCATCAGGAATGAGCCCCTGCTAGGTCAGACCCCCTGCAGTGAGACTGCACTAGTGGCCCTGCCATTCAAAGGCCTGCAGCCACCGAGAGGCAGACTATAAACAGAGGTGCAGTGCAGAAAGTGGCTGAAGAAAAACACAGCTGATAGAGGGATGGAGAGGGATGGGCACACACACACAAGTCTTTGGGGCTTTATTTTATCCCTTTAAAGATACAACGGTCTTCATCAGAGAGTTACAACTTTTGGCTGGCAAAGTAGTAAAGATGTAATGCGATGCATAAGAAATATAGTTCATAGTAAACACAGAAAAACAACCGCACACTTAAATCATTGTTAAGTATACAGTTTACAAGTATTATAGACATATTTATAAAACATTGCATTTTTAATTATAGTTTCTACTGCTATTAATAGCAATAAATTTTCCTTTAAAAAACAAACTTAGCCCCACCAGAGTGGCTCAGATGGTTTAACATTATCCCATGCACCGAAAGTTGTCAGTTCGATTCCAGGTCAAAGCAAATACCTGGATTGCAGGTTTGATCCCCAGTCAGGGAGCATACGAAGGGCAACTGACCAATGTTTCTCTCTCACATCGATGTTTCTTTCTCTCTCTCTCTCTCTCTCTCTCTCTCTCTCTCTCTCTCTCTCTCTCTCTCCTTCCCTCTCTCTAAGCATATTCTCGGCTGGGGATTAAAAAAATAAATAAATAAAACAACCTCTTCCAACTTCCTCCTTAAAAAGAAAAAAAAGACGACACAAACCTAAAACTTACCTCCAGACTAACCAAGGAGTTGCGTGAGAGATCTAAAGATTTTAGACCTGTTAAACTCATCAAAGAATTTCCTAGGTGAGTAATCTTTTCTTGATAAGTTCCAGGAATAGATAATGACTGAAGTTCAGCTAAGAAAAGAAAATTGTGAGATTTTAACATTATTTTTTTAATTGAAAAGAAATCCTCATAAAATCGAGATATCATAATCTCAAAAACAAGAATTGCATATAAAGTTTCAGCTTATGTTCCACACTAAAAACGCTACACAGAAAGATATGCTTAGCCCGGCTGGCATAGCTCAGTGGGTGAGCATCACCCTCTGGACCAGGAACCAGGAGGTCACAGTTAGATTCCCGACAGGGCATATACCCTGTTTCGGGCTCGATCCCCAGTGTGAGGCGAGCAGGAGACAGCAGATCAATGATCCTCTCTCACCAATGATTCTCGCTCTCTCACCAGAGATGTTTCTATCTCTCCCTCCCTCTCCCTTCCTCTCTGAAATCAATAAAAAAAATATTAAAAAAAAGATATGCTCAGAAATATAAAAGACAAATCAAAATAGAAAACTAAAAATATTCAAATAAACCACAGGGGAAGCAGGAAGAGGGAAACAACACAAGAAAAACAAAGAGAACAAACAGAAAACAAATAATAAAATGGCATAGGTAAGCCCTACTCTCTTGATAATTACATTAAGTGTAAATGGTCTAAACACACAATAAAAGACAGAGATTGTCAGAGTGCATTAAAATGAATGAACTGTTCACTATCTACAAGAAACTAATTTCAAACAAAACGATATAGGAAGGTTAAAAGATAAAATAGTAAATAGATGGGGAAAGATATGCCCTGCAAACACCAAAGTACAGCTGGAGTGGCTACACTAACATCAGATAAAGTGGATGACTCAACAAAGTATTAACTACAAGAGTCACTCCAACAAGAAGACATACAAATCCTCAATAGTCTGCAACAAATAGCACGGCTTCAACACACACGGAGTGAAAGGAGAAACAGAGAAATCTACAATTACAGTTAGGCCCCCCACCCCTCCCAACCACCTCCCCCCACCTCCCCCCTCTCCCCGCACAGGCCCCCATGCCCAGCCCTCCACCCCTCACCCCTCCTTGGCACACGTGCCCCTGGGGACCCCCACCCCTCACCCCCTGGCCTCTGACCGTTCGGTCCCTGTGCCGGCCTCTGGCCCGATCCTGACCCTCTGGTGGGAAGCTTGCGCCCTCAGCCGCGCCCCCCGCCCGCCGGCCGGCCGGCCGCCGCCACGCACCCAGGTCGCGGTGAGGCGACAGGCCGCTCTTCTCCCAGATCTTCTCCTCGCTCAGCACCAGCCGCGGGCCCGCCGGCGCCATGCTTTCAAACGGACCTGGGCCTGCGCCTGCGCAGTTGGGCCGCTGAGGGCTGGCATGGGGCGTGGTCAGGATGGGATGGGGCGGGGCCTCTGAGTGGGCGTGGCCAGGAGCTGGAACCCGGCGGAAAGGGGTGGCCAAGGACCAAAGTGGGTGGAGGGAATGGCTGGGCCTCTGGGAGGAGAGGAGGGGGGTGGGTCGGGCCACCAGCCACGGGGTTGGGTGGAGTTGGAGCCCCTCTGAGGGCGCGGGGCGCGACCCCGGCCAGCTCTGCCCACGATGCCCCTGGAGTGCTGCCGCTTGCTGGGCGCGGTGCCCTCCCTAGGAAAGACCGCTTCTCGTAGGGACCCGCCCCAACCGGAGACCCGCCCACCTGGAGACCCGCCCACCTGGAGACCCGCCCACCTTAGGACTCTGCGGGTTCCCAGCCGCGCCGGCGTCCTGGGCGGAACCCCCGCACCTGGAGTCGTAGGTCTCTCCCTCCGTAGCCACTCGGTGGCGGCCAGTCCTCCTCCGTCTCTGTCCTCAACTTCCCGGCGATCTCTGGGGTCGGATCTAGCCCGTCACCTGCTGCCCGGAAAGCTCATTCGTGTCTGTCCCTCTGGGTCCTTATGGGGTGTCACGAGGAACTTTTGAGATTTGCAGGATTTAGGGACGACCCCATTCCGGGTCTGAATCTGCCCCACCCAACTTGCGCCCTGAGTGCCCCTTCCTACCCCCCTCCTGGTATATGGGGGCGCCCTTGCTACCCCTCACCCCAGTTTTAAACAGCTTGTTGGTAACGTCCTCTGGCATGTCACAGCCCAGGTGGTGGGGTGCAGGGTGGGTTATGCAGGGTGCCCCGTCCTAGACAGAGCAGAACTTCAAACCTGGCACACAGGCTCCTTGGGCACCTGTGCGAGTGATTTATTGCGACTGGCGAACACTCAGTAACACTGGGTCAAGATTGTCCTGTAACACAGTATGTCCCGATGCTGCAGGACTGGAGGGATTCCAGCACATCCCAGGCCAGCCGTGCTCACCACACCAGGTTTCGGCTGAGTGGAACTTGGTGCAGCCAGGAAAGTAAACAAATGTCTTTGCTTTCCAGAAGCAAACAAAGGCAGACAAAAGGCTTCTGTCGGTCCCAACCCAAGACAAGTAGCTTGTCAGGCACAGCCCACACTCCAAACACCGGCTGCTTCCTCCTGCGCGGTCACTTCAGGTCAGGTGGCCCAGTCTTCGGGGCTGAGTTGTGGCGAACAGACCTCTGCACATGTCCTGTGGGACGGCACCACACAGCCTTTCTAATGTATTGGAAGTGCCAAGAACTACTTTGAGAATCATGTTTTCTGTTACTGAAGTGTTGCATATTCGTTGTAGAAAAGACAAAAAATTTCAGGAGAAAACGAAGATTAAACATTTCACCACACAGAGATGACCAGTGTTAACACTTTCACGTGTATCCTTCAGGGATGCCTTCCCAGCCTGTGTGTATTTAGCAGTGGTGAGATTATGCTGAGCATTCTCATAGATGCTTTTTTTTTTTTTTGCTTTTTATAAACAGTTACTAAATATTCTTCAGCATCACTTATTAAACATCATTTTTAATGGTCACATTAGATCATGAACTAAACCCAGATTTATTTAACCTGTCTGTTTCCACTTTTTTTATGGTGACAAATCTAGTCGGGTGTTGTTTAGAAGTTCCTCTTGAGAAGCTCTGAGCGAGCCGGGGTGTAAAATGGGGCGGTTTCCCACCTTCCCCGAGACTCAGGAGCTTATTCCAGGTCTTCAGAGCCAGAGCGGCTGAGGGGAACCTATGTGCTCCTGAAATGTGTGTGAGCTGCTATGAGTTGTCATCTCTGCATGGTGACAAAAGCCAGCACTATTTCACCAACAAGGAAACTGGCCAACTGGGCTCAATTTGACTGAAAATCAATGTCATATAGGAGCTCCCGTGAGTCTGAAGATGAACCCACACACCCACATCTCCCGTGTGTCCACTGCCAGCTCACACACATGCATATTCCTGCACTCACTAACACCACTACACACTCTCAGGCAGGCTCTCAGCCAGATACCCAAATGCACACTTGTACACAGACCTCCAGAGCCAGACACAGCCAGGGCTCCAACTCTGTGGATCTTTACCAGCCAGATGGCGGGAACTGCCCTTGGTCACCCGTGAGGCACTGTTGAGCCGGATTGCTCTGTTGGCTCACCCCACCCTGGACGAAGTGGATACTGAGCAGATGCACCTAAAAGACTCCTCATTGATGTGCCTGTGG